TGCCAACTGGAGCAAGAGAGCAAAAGAGCGCCTCACTACACTGGCTCGCCTGGTGGTTGCTGCGAAGAGGGCAGGCAAAGAGGAGACCCAGGAGAAAGAAGAGATGGCCATGATCTGCTACGCTATCACACTCTTGAAACCTCTTGGCCAGCAGCTAGCAGATGCCCGCATGCGGCAGTCGCGCTTCGAGGAGCAGCTAAAGGACCTCCAATTCAAGCTTCGGGAGATGGAGTCGAAGGAGGACGAGCTGGTCGAACTGGTCGGGGAGTCGCGTCAATCTGTCCAGGACATCGAGCAGGCCATTCAGGAGGAGGAGGCTACCATGGCTGCTCAACGTGCTGCAGCACAACAGGAGGCGACGACCAATGGCGATGTGAATATGGATGGCGCTCCTCAACAGAGGCATCAGTGGACCCACGGGCAGAACTTCTTGGCGGCTGTGACGGGTCAAGCGCAAGATCCTGGGGCGCTACCAGCGGGCCCGCCGTGCCCGCCCCCGCAGCATCCTCCGCCTACCTCGCCACAGCAGCTGCCGTCGAGCGAATGCCCGCCCAGATCCAGGCCTTCGCTCCCGTCTTCTTCTCAGTCAGCCGAGGAAGCCAGGCGCTCGATTCCATCACGCCTGGGATATACACCGAGCCAGAACGCCACGATGGCCGATTGTTTCTCGATGATGCTGAAGCGCCAGGAGGAAATGGACCAGCAACAGCAGCAACAGCAAGCTCTCTTGGCCAGTTTCATGCAGCAGCAGCAGCAGCAGCAGCTTATGTACCAGTTCCAAGGACAGGGAGTGCACTTGCAGCGGCAGATTACTGGCAATACCTGGACTCATGCTCAGAGCCCGCCTCAGCAGCAAGTGACTCAGGCGCAGACCTCGGAGGGCCAGCAACAGCACTTCCAGCAGCATCATCATGCCCAAGCTCCGCCGGCGCAGCAAGGCCAGCAACAGGGCAACCAGCAAGCCCAAGTCAAAGCTATGATGGAGGCTCAGCATACTCAGCAGCAACATGCTCAGTTACAAGCTCAAGCCGCAGCCATCTTCCACCAGCAGCAGCAGCAGCATAATTCAGGGATGTCCCCCGACATTGCGATGCAGTTGGAAGCTATGAAGGGCGGCAAGTTGGGCAAGGGCGCGGAGCTCTCCAGGGCCCAAACAGATCCCTATCAGGTGGGGCCACATCCTTTACAGCATCAGCCAGGGAAAGGACCCATGGGAGCTCCAGCGGCGATCTTTTCTGCAGCAGGGCTGGCACCCCGCCCTACGCCCGACTCAGCTACACCACTGACGCCGACACAGATCCCGCCATTGTCTCCTACACCCCCTGCGTCGGAGCCTCAGGAGCCCCCGCCGGCCCAGTCAGCAACAGTGCCAGCGTCTATGTGGGAACGCGGAGGGGCACTGGGGCCGACGCAGTTTTGGGGAGTACCGCCCACCCCGCAGCCTTCTGCCCAACCTTCCATCGAGATCTCGCCGACCCAGCCCTTCGAAGCGGAGTTCATCCCTGCACCTACCCACTCTGTCACGGGTCCCGCCCCAATCGAGATCCTCAGCTCTCAGGACGAGAAGTCAGAGATGGCAGCAGCTTTGGAAGCAGTGAGAAAGGTAGAGGAGGCGGAAGCTTTGGATGCGATTCAACGGACAGAAGCGGCGGAGGCTGCTGCCAGGCTGCAGGCTTCCCTGCGACAACCAGGTTTCTGTCCAGATGCGGCGGCATCGACGGCATTACCATCAGCAGCATCAGTCGCAGTACCGAACTCACCACAGAGGGCTCGGGGCGCCAGACGTTCAGCGACCGACGAAACGGGCGCCAGCCTGATGCCGACGGGTGCCACACCCGAGAGCAAATCTCAGACAGTCGAACGCAGAGCGGATTCAGACCTGTGAGCGACATCATCAAGAACAAGAAGAAGGTCTACTGGGGACTGCAGGAGACCTACTACTACGTCAATAATTCAAAGATTGGATCGGCGATGGATTTTCGTACAGAGCCAATTCAGTCAGTACACGCAGCTCCTGGGGGCTTGCAAAGTTATAGCTTAGATTTGAATGAATCAAAGTCATTTGATTCCACTGTGCCGTTGGGACCTACACGGCAAATACCTCAGTCTCACTACGCAGTTGCGCCGACAGGTTTACAACGGCAGCAACAGAGTGGTGTCTCGCCGTCGGGTACAGCACGGCCAAGACCCAATCGACAAGTTTCACTTCTACCTCGGGACCTGGTAGTTGACGATGCGTATCATCATCCCTTCTACGAGCAGTACCTTTACCCTGGAGCTGGGGCCATCAATACTCCAGGTGTACCTCCGCCACTGGCAGCTGCAGGAGCCCACGCATATTCCAAAGGCATGGGTGCCCACAGGCGAAGCGGCTTTTCCGTTCCCATGTCGGAGAAGGTTGTGACTGTTACGCCCGCACACTTGCAGTGGGCAGACCTCTTACTACATCAGGGGAAGTGCGACATCAATGGCGTTTTATGGGGGGGGCACGGACCCTTAGAGCCCATACGGGTGAGCCGAGCTTCTAATTCCAAGGAGCGTGCGTTGCCCCCCCCCACGAGTACGATATTACGGCTATTGGGGCTTTACAGAGAGGCGATGACCGTGCTGCACACAGAAGGGCCTTGTCAGCTCGAAGTTACCTGATGTCTCATCTGGAGCAATTCTGCCCATGCTGGGCTTACGACGCAGCGTTGTGGTCAGTGGATCAAGCGAGACGGGATTGGCTTCTGTGGTGCATTCCCATGGTTAGCAATCGTCTACATCAAGACGCTGCATTGCGGCCCCTACACAATGGAGATACTGACATTATTCGGGCGGTAGCTGGAGATATATGTGAGTTTGTTTTCGCTAAAGACCACCCACACCGCCTCAGTTACCTACGTAGCTATACAGCAGCATGGAGGGCTGGACCAATTGCGTGGCTTGGGATACTGCGACGCCACCAGCACGAACTACTCGCAGCCAGACGCCGCCTCGGACTCGCCAGCGAGCTAAGCACCTCGGCCCAGTCAAACATTGACGATGTTCTCCAGCGCATGCTCGACACGGCCATGCGTCGGGCTCAGCTTCTGGCCTCAGGAGGCATTGACGAACTCCTCACGGCAGAACAACATCGTGCAATCGACGATGAACAACAGCTTTTGGAATGGATGGTTGCTCACGATACTGCAGACCCAGTAGCTACCCAAGTTGCACCCTTGGAGCACTACATCGCACCCGAGTTCCAATCGTACATACCGCCTCCGCCATTGGATGCAGACATCGAGCAAAGTGCCGAGGGTCAAGTGGGTGAGGCGCCGTTGGAACCAGGCCTTCATAGCTTGCACGACGGGATTGCTATGGTCCAGACAAATCTCAAGATGCTACACGTGTCTGTGACAGCTACTGCGCTGCGCGGCGCAATTTCCAGACGAATGGACCCTGTACGATTACAGTCACAAAGAGTCCAGCGTCACATCGAGATCGAAATGCGTGGCCAAGTACCTTATTGGAATATTTTGGAGAGCATCCTTGACCCAGGTCAGGCCAAGCAGGATTGGCAGGACATATGTACGCCTTATGTGCACAATATGTTGGTGACGCATCCTGCGGTCCAGGCAGACATTCGGGACCCTACGGATGCTTGGTCCATCGCTAGCGACATCTGTTCCAGGACTTGGCGGAGAGCACGTCGCGGCAGGCTTCGGTACCAGCGCAACCTTAGACGACTTCAAGAGCAAGACCCTGTACGACACACCGCATATGCACAACGCGCTCGGAGAGCTGCCAACCAGGCTCGAGATCGTTTGGACCGCATGGCTGGTGGTATTGGCATCCTGGACGTAGTTGAAGTTTTGGACCTTGCAAGTGGTGCCAGCATACAACCTTTGGCAATACCAGTACCTCGATTTCGTCGTCCCCATCTACGAGGCGCAGTAGGTTTGCATAGCAGTGCGAACAGATCAGTCACACGGCTTACAGTTCTGTCTGCAGTGGCAGGCGCGCGCTTGTTGTGTAAGTGGGTGACTGATTTGGTTGCATCCACGGCTTTGTATTTGGGCAATAGCGTGCAGGGGCACCCTGCACCAGCTCGGGCCCTTAACGAAATATGTGGGAGCACAGTGACACCGCCAGACGGTGGAGTTTTTACCCAGCTAGGGGAATCAGTTTCAGCCCAGGAGACATGCGACGTCTCAAGAGACGTCTGCAGCTCCTGCCACACGCAGACCCGGGACCAACATGGACAAAATCAGTTGCCCGTACCAAGCACAGGTAATTCGAAATTCGTGATCAGCCTGTGTGATGCTATTCCTGCTTCTCTCTGCCCTAGCGTTGTCACGGACAGCCGACCTACTAATGAAGGCCAGGCAGTGCGCTCACCAGGCCCCCCCCAGGACGGAGTTCATAGAGATCTCGACCCTGTCCCCCCCCCTTCTGTGCCCCCACCCGAGGCTGGTGAAATCCTTGACTCGTTCTATAGAATACACATCCCCACGGATCAGCCGTCACTCAAGCAGGTTCTGTCGGAGGTGTATCGCCCGCCCTTAGACCAGGATGTTAACAGTTTTGACCTTCCAGAGGTCTCAAAGGATGCCCTCGTGGAGCCCCCCCCTTGCAGCGAACCTCACCTTGAGCTTCACTTCTATACGGATGGGTCGACCAAACCTGGTGAGGGTACCCAGGGAGCTTGGGCGTCTGTATGTGTTCGTAAGCTTTCTGACAACCTCTGCGCGTTCGGGGGTTTCTGGTCCTGTGGCTGGGGGGCGTCGTGCCAGGCTCGCCCATTGTCAGCCGATCCCGACATTCTGCACCATGAGGCTCTGGGCATATTTTGGACGTGCGTTCAGATCTTAGGAGAGTCCCTGGCTTCGCAGGACACGTGTCCAGTCTTTATTTTTTCTGATTCCAAGAATGCTGTTGATGTTGTCAATGGTGTTTCTACGGTGGACCCCAAACACGAGGTTATACGTCTCCTTGTCGCCATTGTTCGTACGGTGCGTTGCGTCAGGCCTCTGGAGGTCTGTTATATCCGTGCCCACAATGAGCACCCCTGGAACACCCTCGCGGACTTCATTGCCCGCAATGTGATGCAGGGCAACATCAACCGTGTCACTGTGCTTCCGCCTCGCCTTGTGCGCACCACGCTGTTTGTGCATGCGTTGGAGTGGAGTTGGCTTGATTTTGCGCGCGCTGAGGATCGCGCGGCCTACCCTGTGCGGTTTACCGCTGATGCGGAGGACCTGCTACCTCATGGCCCGCAGGACTTTAAAGTAAGACATCAGATCATGGGCGTCCCCATTCCCGACTCCGAGCCCCGCATAGACGAAATAATCAAGGTCAAGGCTTCTTTTGCTTTCTCGGTTATTCAGTACAATGTAAAAACCATCTCGGTGGAGAAAAAGGTGGGGGCTGTTAGGAAACGTAGATTCATGAGGACTCAGATCATTACGACCCAACTCGAAAAAACCGATGCCTTGGTGGTTGGGCTTCAAGAGGCCTGGAACAAAAAAGGGATTCGCCGCCAAGGGAAATTTTGGGCCGTTTCCCCGGGGGTTGACAACACTGGTCTGGGGTGTGAAGTTTGGTTCAATGGAGAAATCCCTTACGGCAAGGCTGGAGGAAAACAGCTCTTCTTGAGCCGCAATCAACTCTGTGTACTTCACTCCAATCCCCGCTTCCTTGCCGTGGCTGTTAGCGCGCCTCACTTCGCTCTCAGAGTTGCCTCGTTGCATGCCCCGCATGTGCGACAAGGCATGCCGAAGGTGCGTGAGTATTGGGAGCAGGCGGAGCGTCTCATATCGGAATATAATATTGACCTGGTTTTGGTTGACGCTAACGCCAGAGTTGGTGACGTGACTAGCGAGGTCATTGGGGCCGAGGGATTTATCCAGGGTCAGGATCAGCCTGGGGATGCCTTCCATGAAAAATGGCCTCTCTCGCTCTGAAAGTGATCAATACTTTTCTCCCCCATGATCCGAGCTATACTTATGTTGCGAAAGGGGGGGGGAAGCACAGGATCGACTATGTGGCCACCTCTGGCGCTTTTTTTGTGCACGCCAAGGAAGTGAGCGTGCTGCACCATTTCGACAACGGAATGGAAGAGACGGACCATGCCCCCCTGCAGGTCAAATTCGCTTGGGCAGAGACTTTGCACAGGAAGAAAAACAAGAACTGTCCTGTCTTTGACTGTTTAAAAACGAAGCAACCTGACGCGGTGGCGGCCTTCCGTGAGGCTATCGCCAAAATTCCGCCTATCCCATGGGAGACTGACATGAATGCCCACCTGCGGATGGTTCAGGACCAGGTTTTGTCTGCGGCTGCCGAAGCCTTCCCCAAGGATGCTCGCACTACTCAACCCCCGTATGTGTCTAACCGCTCTCTTTTGTTTTTGCGCGTTAGGAGGGGCATCAAAAGAGTGTTGATGAAAGCCAGTGGCGTTTCCCAGCCCCCTCAAAAAATTGATGCCCTCCGTCGTTTTGCGGTTCGACTTTGGAAAGGGGATCTGTCAGTGGCGACACCTGGACACATAGAAAGCCAGGAGTGGGTTAGCCAAGTTGCCGATATCATGGGGTTACCTCCTGACTACACTTCTGCGGGGTTGCATGGTGGCTCGTGTTTGGAGGAGTTCGTGCTGCCCCCCCACATCGCCCTGCAGTTGCCTAGGACCTACCAGTCGATCATGCAGGAATGGAAGCGGATATTCGAAGAACTTGGCAGATACGCCAAAGATTTTGTCATCTCTGCGCGCTGTGAAGATCCCAATGACATTCGAGCTGATATTTTCATGCTTCGACTTCAGAGCATGTTTTTAGGCCAGTCTGATTTCTTGGCTCGCTCCTTTCAGTTAGACAAAGACGCTTTCTTGCAGAAAGAACTGGCTAGTGTCAGGGCCAGCATCGACGGACGGACCCCCCAGGCTGAGTGGAATCATCTCTCCCGAGTTTTGCGTTTCGCTGGGCGCGTGCCGAAACAGACCCCGAGTTTCCCGTTTATGTTGGATGGTCAAGGAAAACCGGCCCGTACCCCTGCACAAGTCCATGAAATTGTGCAAGCGCACTTTGCGAAGATTGAACGGGCCAAGGAGCTCTCCTATAGTGAAGGGGTCTGTAAGTATAACAACGAGTGTAGAATCAATCCTTTGGGTCCCCTTGTCCGTTGTATCGAGGCGATTCCATCCCTCTTCGATTTGCAGCTTTTGTTTAGCAAGGCACAGGCCCACCGCAGTGCGGGGCCTGATTACTTCCGAGATGAGTTGTTCAAAGCTGATCCGTGCGGGTTGTCCGAGGTTTTCGCTCCCATCCTGGTCAAAGCAGCTGCGCATTGCCGTGAGCCATTGGGTTTCAAGCTCGGGGAGGTGGCCTTTTTCCACAAAGGCAGCGGTGATGTGTGGACGGCTGCTGCACAACGCAACATTCACAAATGCAACGCCATCTCCAAGATGCACCACCGTTTCTTACGTCAGAAAGCTACTGACTTCATTTATGCTTCTCTTTTGTGCACGCAGGTGGGTGGTATCCAGGGCAAAGGAGTTGAGCATGCCTTGCTGGGAATTCGGCTGCATTGGCATGCTACCAAGCAGGCTAAACAAAGTGCGGGCGCTTTGAGTATTGATCTTGTTGCTGCTTTCTATGCCGCTGCGAAGCAGGTGGCCTTAGCGCTCCCACGGGAAGAGACTTCCCTCGCCCACGCCCTGGAAACGATGGAGCTCACCCCTTTCTTGCAGGAAGGTGTCAGAGCCCAACTTGGTGCCCCTCCCCTTCTCGAGGCCCAAGTGGATACGGAGCACATCTTGTTCTTACTCCAGGAATCGCAATCGGGCTCCATGTGGAAGCTAGGTCTCTCGGCTTCGTGGGTTGCCCCCTCTGTGGGATCGCGCCCTGGCTCCATTTTGGCGGGGGATGTGTTCAACTTGGTGTTATCCAGTGCTCTCCGCGAAATTCAAGAACGCATGAAAGCGGAAGATCTTGTTTGGCAGGCCCCTCCTGCTCCCCATCAGGCTTCTAGGCCTCAAGACTGGCATGATCCAGCGGCGGATTTCTCTTTTGTTGACGATCTGACGATCCTGGTGGGCGGACCAGCTAACACGATCGTTCATCAACTTTCGAAGGTTGTCAGAATTATCCACGATTCTGTAGGCAAGCGTGGGCCCCTCGTTAACAGTGCTAAAACTAACGCCCTGATTTGTTTTAGGGGTCCTGGGGCCAAGGCGGCTTCTCGTATTTTGTTTGATACTCTCCCGCCCAGGATCCATCTTCCTGCTCTTGACGTACGCATCGACGTCGTTCAAGTTCATAAGATTTTGGGTGTGCTTGTGTCTGCCAATGGAGGGATCGGCAGAGAAATCTGCGCTAGGAACGCCTCGATGGTTGGTGCTCTCCGTCCCATCAAGAAGGTTGTCTCCCCCTCCCCGCTCCTCTCGTTACAAACTAAGGTTCGGTGCGCGGAAACGTTAGGGGCTACTCGTTTCCTTTTCGCTGCTGGAGTGTGGGATGACATCCCTGATTTCCTTCTTAAGAAGATCCGCGCCTACCATTCTCAGGTGTATCGTACGGCTACCAACAAGGGCCTCCGAAATCACACCAGGGACCAGGATTCTAATGTTATGGTTTACCTCAGAACCCAACGCTTAGCCATAGACCAAGTGCTGTCGGTTGCCAGATTGCGCATGCTTCCTAGCGTCCTCCTTCGGGCCCCGCCAGCGGTGAGAGTGTATATCGATGTTCTCTGGAGTGTGCCGAAGTGTTGGCCCCAGCTTGTTAAAGCTGACATGTTATGGATGCGACGATATAGGTTTCCCACGGGCCAAAGTGATCAGGATTACATCGAAGAACTCCTCGAGATTGCCCGCCGCGCGCCAGGCGTTTTCAAAGGCCTCGTGGCCAAGGCTGCGAAGGCGGCTAAGCATTTTTTCGTTGAGGACTTAGAGCACGACCACTGGGTCAAGCAGCTCAAGCAGTCAAGACCAGACACTGATTTTGAAGCAGAAGAGCGCACGCCCATCCATGCTGTGCGCCCTGCCCCTCAGGACGTGGAAGGTCAGCCCCCAGGTGAACCCCATTCTTCCTTTGCTGGTTCGCAATTGCCCTCCCCTCCCATTCTTAAATACCTGTGCTACATGTGTGGATTCACGGCGGACGACCCCAAGACTATCAAGGTCCATGTGGGTAAGACCCATAAGACCTCCGAGAGCCCTACCAATTTTGTCACGGGCACGTTGTGCCCCTTCTGCGTGACCGAGTTTTGGGACGGTGCGAGGCTGTTGAAACATATTCAGGGCGCTCAAGGTTGTAGGCTGGCTTGGGCCGCCTCCCCGCTTCGTCCTTCCCCCTCGGAGTTAGCTGAAGCCATCGTTGAAAGAAAAAATGTTAAAAGCGACAACAGATCCAAAGGTCTGTCTGAGTGTTTCGCCCACATTCCTGCCCGCAAAGTACATGGTGCCCCTTTCCGTCCTATTGTTGTGGCTCCCCGCGCCATGTCTATTGAGGTCCCACATGTCTCCGTGGAAGTGCCCTCGTGTCCCCCGCCTGTTTCCTCGGTGCCCAGTTCCCCTTCTCTCCAGGGGAGATCTTATGTCGTGATCCTCGTTCCCTCTGTCGATCTGTTTGTATGTATTTCCCCTTGGTTCTGCGAGCATTTCAGCTTCAGTGGGTTAGAGGTGCGGGTCATTGCAGCTTGGTCCAGCCAGACTCAGAAGTTCACGCTGGACCTGGATTTAGTTCTCAGCATTCAGCATGCCATCGTAGAAGGTGCCGTTGCTGGCCTTTGCGTTCTCGGTGAAAGAATGTCTTGGGATTTGGCGTACCGCCCGCCCGAACCCCATCTCGGAACTAGTGTGTGGCGTGATTCCAGGTTCAAGTGGGGGGTCCCGTGGGCCTCCGAATCTGCCCGCGAGGTGCTTGGGAGAGAGAACTCGTGGGTCCGAGCTGCTGCGCGCCTTTTTTTGGCCGCCGTCGACGGGCGAGTGCCCGCTGTGTGGTCCATCCATACCCCTTGCCGTTCCGAGGCCCCGACCTCGCGTGCTGCACTGTGTCTGCCCATGCAGGTGCCAAAAATTCTGGCCCTCCCTGAAGTTGTGTGGGAAAGAGTGGCCGACGCCTACGTGGGAGTGTGGACTGAGGCTGCTCCGCCTCGGCTACACCTGTCCCTTCCTCCTCCCCCCCTCCTCCTCCCGCCCGCAGCAGGAGAAGAAGGCAGGCGCCCCTTTGTTTCGCCCGCAGGACGGGGGAGGACGACGGACCCATGTTCCACGAAGGAATGGACCGCATGGCCTCACTCCTCTCTGGTCTGATGTCTGACGTTTGGTCCTGCCTCGGTCCCTTCCCGCGCAGTGTCGCGGGTCGTCCCCTAGGAGCTCTCGACGCCTTCCCCTCCCCCGCCTGTCTCGCCGAGGGGTCGTGGTCCC